AATTGACAACAAAGGACAAACAACTCTGGCTTATGCGATAATGTTGGGTGAAGAGCAACTATGTAAATTACTAATTTCAGCTGGAAGCGATGTCAGTCTTCTGAATCAGAAGGAAGTATTGCTGTTTCATGCTGTTAAGAATAACCTCTTGGAAATCACACAACATTTGATTGACCAAGGTACCTTTATAGATCCAAGAGATGATTTGGGAAGAACACCATTATTTTACGCTGTTATAGAATCAGTATCAATAACTCGCCTGCTTCTGTCCAGGGGAGCGAATTTGCATGCAAAAGACAGTAGCAATAATGACGCCCTTTCGTTCTTTGTTGATAATTGTGCAGTAAAGGCAAAGAAAGAAGAGCTTGGTATACGTGAAGTATTTCAAATTTTTGATGAATATGRATTTGGAAGAAAAAACATCGTAACTTCAATACTCAATGCATTGTTCCATCATGTGTTCTGCTCAAACGARTTATCATCCCGCTACAACAGAGAGTCAAAGCTTGTAGATCTCGTAAATCTCGTAAATCTCGCAGCTCAATACCAGGATGAAGACAACCCTGAAAGAAAGGAGGCTATCGAGCTAATTTGCAAGAAAATAGAAGTTCTAACGAGCAATGCAGCTSTTGTTGATATCCTGTCGCTGCTCATTAAGCTAGGCGTGGACCCAAACAGTGCCGACTTGCATGGCAACACAGCACTTCATTATGCTGCATGTCTACCGCTGTACAGTAAGCCTCAGGAAACAGTGCTGGAAATATGGAATTTACTTGAAAWGTCTGGTGCAAGATTGAACGCTGTTAACCACGACAAACAAACKCCCTTTTTGTTTTGTTTGTCAAAGTATCTTTCAAGCGAAGCGAGAGAGGGCTTTGRAACGATGTTCTATTTTTATGGCGGCTGGAGAAAAGAAGAAGTACAGGGGATTGCCTATACTTGTAAATTTTTCCTTAAAGATGACTCATCGCTTAATCAAGTATCAAGCAAAGGTGATTCTTTTTTTCACTACATCATGRGGATTTTCCAAAAGTTGTTTGCTCGCCGGTACTCCGCTCCCACCAACAAGTTTCCCACCGAAAAGATGTCTTACTATCAAGAGGTATCTCAATTACTGCACCTGCTTCAGGAGACAGATATCAAAAAGCAAGAAAACGCAGCCAGAAGACCGAATGACAAACTCGAGACACCGYTACATATATGGGCAACTTTAACCCATGAGAATAATGAAGTACCAAGTGAAAYATTTGAAAAGCTAATGAGTATGCTTCTGGAGTATCTCCTAAAGTACGGCGCTAAAGTCAACGCCAGGAACGAAAATGATGAAACACCTTTGCACTTGTGCCAAACTTGGTGTGCAGTGCAGCTTTTGATTGATGCTGGTGCTAATGTCAACGATGYGGATTCATCTGAACGTACACCTTTACTCGCTGCTGCCGTCAGGTACAAACAAGGCTACCGGGAAAGATTTTTTAATGATTGCACAGATGATCCTGRWGTMTTTTGGARGAAMGCYATYGACAAAGGTCTTAATCCATGGGCATGTGACAAGGACGGCGAATCAGTGCTGAGCTTTTTGCTGAGTTCAGATAAAGGTTTCAAATTATCGGAGGCATTGGTTCAAGTGGCCTGCGATAACAGCTATTGCAAGAGTTTGAAGGATTTAGTCACACTTTTGAATGCAATTTGCAAGGATATGAGTTCTAATAACCTTTGGAAAGAAAATCTTGTCGAAAAGCTGTTGAAGGTTAAAGACGATAAGCTTGATTTGAATGTCGCTCTGATACATTGCTGTAGGAATCTAGACGAACACATTCGGAAAAACTCAGAGAGATCAATAAAGAAGGAGAATTTCGCCGAATCTGTTTTCTGGAAAATTTCACAACGCCTCCATTTTTATGGAGCCGATTATAGTACACCTGATTCTACTGGAGTATCATGCCTTGACATCGCAGAGTCTTGTCCAGTCCTTAAATATCTAATTTCTCAACCCATAGACATCGAAAAAGTACCGATAGCCATTCCATGGAAGCAGTCAACAGAAAAACATCGCGACAAACTGGCCAAAGTGGTTAGACGCCAAGAATGTAAAGTGGTCCAACACTACTGGCATCACCAGGTAGAAATTGCAAGCGGCTCATTTGGAGAGGTTTTTGCAGCAATCGATTCACGTGACGGGCGTGAAGTTGCCGTCAAAAGAATCGTTAATTCGCGGATGACCAGTCCACGGGATATGCGAGAGATTGACAACCTCATTTCAATAGATTGTCAACAGGTTGTTCGCTATCTTTCTTATTCTGAAGATGAGAATTTCGTTTATATAGTTTTGGAGCTTATGGAGGGAAGTTTAGAAAGTGCCAATTTCCTTCACGACAAGTCATTCGACATAAGTAAAAAGATCGAACTTTGCAAACATGTTTTGTCAGGGGTCGAGTATCTACATAATAGAGACATTTTGCATCGTGACCTCAAACCAAGCAATATTCTCTACAAAACCAAACCTCATTGCTTGAAAATAGCTGACTTTGGTCTTAGTCGTTGTATGTCCAATACAGCTACAACAGTTTATGGGACCAACGCCGGCACTCGATGTTGGATGGCTCCAGAAATTCTGAAAGGTGTTACTCCATCCAAATGTTCTGACATCTTCTCATGTGGACTTGTTTTACATTATATTTTGTCGGCTCAGAAACATCCATTTGCCTCCACTAAAAGCGCACTGATGAATCCCTGCGACATTCACAAAACAGAGGGTAACATCCTGAATAATAAAATGGAAGGATGGGATCAGTCGTTGCCACCTGAAGTGACTCACCTCCTCAAAGAGATGTTAGGAAGCAATGATAAGAAGAGGCCTACTGCACCTCAGGCATTAGCTCATCCGATGTTCTGGTCAGAAACGAAGAAGATGGATTTTCTCGTCGCTGTTGGAAATCAACCAGAGTTTGAATGTCCTCGTTCTAAACGGAGTTCTTTAACTGGAGTCGAGCGGCATCTACAAGCACAATTGGTCATTGTGACCAAATACCGTCGCTGGAACGACCCAGTGTATGTCAAAATGTCAAAAATCTACGCTGAAATGACCAGCAAATACAAACGTCGAACTTACGATACCAGATCGGTGGTTGAGCTGGTGCGTTTTATGAGAAACGCCGTCCAGCACGTCTCTGATGCGTCTCGATCAGCTGATGTCCAGCAACTCGTGCTTCAGGACTTTGCATTCTTGGAAGAATTCCCCAACCTCGTAATTGAAGTCTTTAAAGCTGTAACTGATCATGGATGGGACCACA